CAACGCTAGAATCCGGGTTTCGATACCTGTGGTGGGTAGAGCACAGATAGCCCATTGGGTAGCTTTGTGCTTAATTACAAACAAACCAAATCATAATGACTTTCTATCACTCAACTTGGAAAACAAAATAAATTTAATAGATAAATTAGTTAAATTCTACAGTAAGTACAGTACAGCTGGAAAAGCTACCGATTATTATCAAATTATTACATTTTTAGAAATTCAGAGCACGTATTAACACTAAACTGTATTGAATTAATAAATGCTACTAAATTTACTGATTTAAACCTTAAATGTAAAGATGATTTGAAAAGTCAACCAACAGTGCCGGTTTCTGTTCAACCGACAGTGCCAGTTTCTGTTCAATCGACAGTGTCTGTTTATCTACAAATGTTTTTTTTTTTTTTTACAAAATAAGCAGTATGTTTGTAATTAAGCACAAAGCTACACAATGGGCTATATGTGCTCTGCCCATCACAAGTATCGAAACGCGGTTTCTAGCGTTGTAAGTCCGCAGACGTTGCCGCTGTGCCACTGGGGGGTGGGGGCAAATAAGTACTAACCTTTATCAGTTACTAATGGCGGATTTAATTAAGCATTTCACAGCCAGGGGAATAGCGCGTTCTTAGCAGGTGATGAGGCTTTCGTGTCCGTACACACGTCCATTGTTCTAGGACAACGTATTAGTTATCTCTTTAAAATTCACAGAGTGTCCAATAACTCGAAATGTGGAATTTATGCACTCATCACTTGGCAGAATCCCCATTTTATTATCGTAACTATCAACTTAAGTTAATCTTTTGTCCATAGTTGTGTTGTGCATATAAATGAGCCATGCTTGTACTGCTATAGGAAGCTCCCATATTAGGGGATTTGTGTGTTATTTATAGTTTGAATATAGGGATTTGTGTTTTATTTATAGTTTGAATATAGGGATTTGTGTGTTATAGTTATAGTTTGAATATAGGGATTTGTGTGTTATTTATAGTTTGAATATAGGGATTTGTGTGTTATTTATAGTTTGAATATAGGGATTTGTGTG